AGGCTAGCTTCTGGCCAGACGCTGTATTTGCTCTTGAACCCCAGGGCCTTGTAGAGCCAGCACACTGGAGCTTTGGTGAGGTTGCCAGGGGCTTCAGTGAGGCTCAGCTGCCAGGCAGAAAGGCCCAGAAGCGCTCACACATGCTGCCCAGGTGGCACAGCGGGGGGCCCAGGGGATGCGGCCACCCAGGCCTCCACCCTGGTCCAGGCCCTGGGGCGAGCTTTCTGAGACAGTAAGCGCAACCGACACGTAAAGGATCTTTACCTGCTTAGCTGACGGGCGGGGTACGAGGTGAGGACTCGGCAATCACAGGCCTCTCGGGGCCTCTCCGAGATCCCCACTGGACAAGGGGTCAGTGACAGCAGACGGAATCTTCCTCCCTCCCTCCCACCATTTCGTCTCTTGTTTTTCATTAAAGAAACAACAGGAGTGATATTACGCTGCAAGAACAACTGGACCAGGGCAGCTGGGAGATTCCCCGGGATTTGGTCTCAATGCACGAGGAGGGAGGAGAGAATGGGGCCTGGGTTCCAGCTCAGCACAGCATAGTTGTAACTGGCTGTCCAGCCTGGGAGGGGGCAGCTCAGCTTCGCTGTCCTGGTCCGCTCTTCCCGCCTCTTCTGCAAACAGGTTCCTCTCGCAGGGCACCTGGCCGCAGGGCGCTGCGCCCTGAAAACACGGGTGGCCAGGGCTGGCTGCTGTGGAACAGGGGGGCACTGTGCCGGATGGCACAGAGGAGCAGGGCCCTTTGTCACCGGAAGCAGCGCTTAGGAAAGGGACTGGCTGCTGCCTGCGGTTGGTCAGCAGACGCTCTTCCTGTCTGGCACCAGGCCACGTGCGTTCTCGTTCGCTGTCACCGCAGCTCCGGGGGGCCCTGCAGGTACCTGTGACACCATTTCCCTTGTACTGTTGGTGGACGTCTCGTGGTCGTAGGAGGGCCCCATGCTGGGAGACGCAGCCTGCCCTCAGGTGGGCAGTGCTCGGAGGGGGTAGGAGCTAGGCCGAGGAAACGGCTTCTCTGACTTGGAGGCTTGGCAAAAGTTAGGTCTCTTTTCTTATCTGTGGTTCTCAGGGTCAGAAATGGATGTTATCACTTAAGATGGGCAACTGGGGTAACTGGATGGAAGCTGAGAAAGTGGGAGCTCAAAGAAGTGGAGGCCTAGCAGGGAGACGTAGAACAGTGTTCAGAGCCCTGGCCGGTGTGCGCAGTGGTTAGAGCATTGGCCCATGCACTGAAGGGTCATGGGTTTGATCCCCGGTCAAGGGCATGTGCCCAGGTTGCAGGTTCAACTCCCCAACCCCCGTGTTTCTCTCACATTGATGTTTCTCTCTCTCTCCTCTCCCTCCCTCCCTCCCTTCCTCCCTACCACTGTCTCTAAAAATCGATGGGAAAAAATATCCTTGGGTGAGGACTAACCAAAAAAAGAAAAAAGAACAATGCTTTAGCGTGAAAGAGACCTGAGTGAGTTTGGAAGCCACAGGCCTGGGTGAAGATGAGATGTGATTGTGCGTGAAGACGGCGGGGCCGGTGCGGGTGTGGAGCATTCACTGAGCGGGAGAGCAGGTGTCGCCAGAACCAGGGCCTGGAGCGCCACAGTGAGAAGCCAGGGCTGCCCAGGTCGGGCGCTGCAGGGAAACCGATTGCTCACACTGTCTGGTTTCTGTTGCACACGTGAGTGCTCCGGCCCCTCACTGGAGTCCACGGGCACCCGCGGGAGGCCTCTCGTGGACTCCGTTCAGGGGAGCTTAGGTGCTGAGTCCCTGAAGCCCCTTTCGGCCTGGTTGTCCAGCACAGCCCCGTGACAGTCCCCTCGCAGGGCTCCAGAGCCACACACAGCACAGGCCTTCCCAGAACCCCGAGCAGGAGGCCGGGGCTGGGGTCCGCACTGACACCGAGGGTGGCACACGGAGACGGGGTTCTACCGGCAGGACGGGGCCATGGCAGATGTCAGGCAGGAGTGTGGTGGGAGCAAGTCTGTGTCTGGACGGAGCTCTGGCAGCAGGATCGGACAGGTGACAGGAGGCCACGCTGCAGGCACGTGGCTGTCACACAGGCAGGGAAGCAGGCCCCAAGGAGGAGCTGTGGAACGGCTGCCACAGCGAGCCGGCAGGGTTCACCATCAGCCGGAAGCGGAGAGGAGGTGGCTTCTGGGTAATGCCATTCCTTGAAAAAGGGAATAAGAGAGGAGAAACAGGATGGAGCAGAGGGGCAGGGTTGGAAAATACGGAAACTGTCTAGGACGTAGTGAGCCTGAGGTGTCTGTGAGCAACCCCTGCGAAGGAAGCCAGGAGCTAACAGGTATGAAGGCCTACATCTGTCAGGCACTGCGAAGCCCTTGCACATATTGTTTCATCCTAACAGCCCTACAAGACAGGTGTTGTCCTTCCCATTTTACAGATGAGGAAGTTGAGGCACAGTGAGATTAAGTAAGTTGACCAGCTGCACAGCTACTAAGGGCCAGAGCCACAATTTGGCCCCAGGGCATGTAGGCTCAGCACCGCCTGCTCTTAATGTCTGTGCCACCCTGCAGCTCTGTGGCAACTGGACACCTGGCTCAGGAGCTCAGGGCAGATCCGAGCTTTAGTTGCAGCTACGGACTCATCTGAGTCCAGGTGCTTCCAGGACTGACCTGTGGAGCCAGCCCGGGAGCATTTTGACATCACACTCGTCATTGGATGAACAGCAGGTGAAAAGGCCACGTCACTGAAGCATCCTCGAGCTCGGGGTGGTGGAGACAGCACGCTGTGTCTCAAGCCCATGAACTCCCAGAGTGCTTTGCCCAGAGGAAGGGCGAGGAGTAGAAAGCAGAGTAATCTGGCTGACTGCAGCTTTAGGATGAGCCCCGAGGAAGATGTGCGGGAGAGGGCAGTACCAAGCAGCCCACAGGAGGGGTGGGCTGGGAGTCAGGGAAGGGTGGCAGGCATGCTCGTCAGACCTGCAGGTGGTCTGAAGCAGAGGAGTCCAAACGGTTCTTTGAGAGGCTGCCATTGCAGGACTTACCTAGAGCTTACTCTTTCCTAAGGATTTAAGTTAAAAAATTCAGATAAACCCAATCTTAGAAATAGAGGACTATTTTTTTCTTTTTAATCCTCTCCCGAGGATATTTTTCCATTTTTGTTCAGATAGAGTGGGAGGGAGAGAGAGGAAGGGAGGGAGAGAGCATTGATGTGAGAGGGACACATCGACTGGTTGCCTTTAGCACGACCCCAATTGGCCGGGGATGAACTGCAACCAAGGTACGTGCCCTTGACCAAATCAAACCCACAACTCACTGGTACATGGTCTGATGCTCTAACCACTGAGCCAAACTGGCCAGGGCTTTTTTTTTCTTTATTGACTGTTGTTTTTTTTAGAGAGAGAGGAAGGGAAAGGGAGAGATAGAAACATTGATGAGAGAGAACATTGATTGACTGTCTCCTGCAGGCCCCCCTCACTGGGGCACGTGCTCTGACTAGGAATTGAACTGGCGACCTCTTGGTGCATGGGACGATGCTCAACCACTGAGCCACACACGGCGGGCACAGAGGACATCTAATTTAGTACTCGCCCTTTCCAGACCAGGACGTGAAGGCCCAGAGAAATTAAGCAAGTTGGGCAGTCATCCAGTTAGATGTTTTGACAGGGACACGCTTGTTTGTAGTAGGATGGTGTAAACGGGTCCGAGGACGGACACACCAAGTGCCTGTACCTACTGAGAATGTGCAGCCACTGAGAAAGGCTTCCCTTTACTCCCACAGGCTCCCTCTAGGATGGAGCCTTCCCTTCCTCTTGCAAGGCAGGGCCTGTGGCGGCTTCCACCAGGGCTTTTCTCTAGTCCTTTCACTCTCCTGGACACCTGCAGTCAGGTTCTGATGATCAGATTAACTCCGTGAGCACTCTGGACGTGAGAAGGCAGAATGAGGGAGAAGCCTGAACTTGAAACCCTGCAAAGCCCTCACCCTCTCTGCTGCGGCCTCCTGCCCGGCGTCCTCTGCCTGCACCACTGAGAGCTCAGCAGACACTGCTGCAATGCTGCAGGGCGCTGACTTCAATGCTGGAGAGCACAGACACCAGCAATGCACGTGGCTACCCTGCTTCTCCGAGGCTGGAGATTACTAGGCCAAGGAAATGCGGTTCCCTTTGAACTGTCTCCCAAGCCCTTGCTGCTCAGAAGTGTGATGCCTGGGCCAGCGGTTCTGCATGCACTGGGAGCTGGTTAGACGTGCAGACGCTCAGGTTCCCCCTCTCCAGACCTACTGAATCGGCAGCCGCGCTTCGACAAGCTCCCCCGGCTGATTCCCAGAGACTGCAGCAGAGCCGTGCTGCTCTGGGTCCCTCCTTCCCAGAGCCACACTCCCGCTGCCAGACCCAGCACATGCCACCCAGCAGCTCCACCCCCTGGAGTGCAGCCGGCAAGAACTGCTGCCCCTCTTGCTTCCCCCCGGCCTTCAGAAAGACAAGTTAGGACCGAAAGGTTAAGCAATACAGCTCTTTGCTTTATAGGACAACACAGCCTGCTCAAGGCAGGAGGCAGAGGTCAGTACTCAGAGAGTAAGTGGTAGGAGGCTCTTGCTTCTGGGCAGCGACACCCAGCGGCCCCCAGGGCACTGCCGCCGTCCAGGCTGCGGGTGTCTGATACCGCCCAGATGCCTGAAGTGCCACGTCAATGCAGGTCATCACTCCCAGATTACTAAAGGACAGGTCGTTGGGCGATGCATTTTAGACAGTCTTAAAAAAACGTTTGGAAGAAAAAAGTCCCGGCATGCAAATGTTATCTAGAAAGTCAATTCGTGGGCAACAATCCTTCCTTTCCCAATAGTACCAGATACACGAGGTTGTCCCGTGTCTCCGTAACTCTCACGATGTTGCTGATGAGCGGACCTACCGCTGTTCCCAACCCCCTTCCTCAGCCAAACTACTGTCAGCGGTTCCTGCTGGTGGTTAATAAAACACACAGGAGGCAAAAAAACACAATGTTTTTAGACTTTTTTTTTTTGGATTTGTTTTTAAAGAAACTGCATACATCATCAGAGACAAACAATAATTTAAATACCATGCAGTTTCTGTATGTACAAAACCTAGGCCATAGAGATCCAGTTTAACTGTATTCTATTTACACCGTCTTCCTCACACAGCCGTCTTGTTCAACGAGAACGCGCTCCTATACAAAGACAAACTATGTACAGACACCCGGGAAGCAACTGGAAAAAGCAGCTGGTCTGGGGGTTAACAGACAAGTGGGAAGAAAGAGTCATTTCATTGAAGGTGACCTTTGCACACTGGCTGGGCACAGGGGGGCCGGAGAGTCCATTCACCGAAGCACACCACGGTTTTCATTCAGCAAATACAAGTACACGTTCATAAACGGGAGAAAAATGAACTCGGGTTTTCACCACACCCACCGTCACATGGTTTGGTTTCTCTAATCTGATAGAAAGGCTAAAATTTTCAGGGTCGTCCAGGGCTCTGAGGGCCTTTGGGGAGGAACACAGCGATTTTGGAAGAGCCCACAGGCCTGTGGATGGCACAGGGGGTCGGGGCAAGGTCCGATTTTCAGGAGGAAACACTTTGATCTGAGAAGTTTCACGTTTTCCCTTTCATGCTCATCCGAATGGCAAGAGGCTCAACTGGAAATCTATCCACACAAAAGAAATCTTTCTCTGTAAACTGTAGCCTTTTCAGAAAAGGAATGCATTGCACTCCAGCTGGGCCAGCTCCCCCCGCCCCCAATTAATGACCATTTGTCATCTTGGAAAGTAACGTATGCTTTTTAATTGTCATAACAATGTGGCAAAAATGAATAATTTCTATCAAGTCTTCCGGATTTCAGAAAAGGAAGGAGACAGCCGAGGGGCCATCCTGTGGTTGCTGAGCCACCTACAAGGGGCTTGAAGCCCCCCTCTGTGGTGGGCACTCTCGGTGGCACAGAGGGGGCACTTCTGACTCCTACAGGTGGCTCTGGAAAACCGCGCTCTGCAGGAAGAGAGGTGGGGCGTGTCTGATTTCTTCCGTGCAGAGTGGTCAGATAGTAGGTCACTTCGGGTGGACAATCTGGGCTGCGGGCTGGCTGCAGGGGGGCGGAGCTGGGCCTCCTGTCCCCGGGGAGTCTGGACAGCCCAGGAACAGGGGCCAGCAGAGCAGCCACGGGCCTTGGTGGGAGGAGCCCAGGTCACGGAATGAGCTCCCGTAGGACTCGCTGCTGGGCCAGGGGAAGGCCTGCCCGTCCTGCCAGGGCGCCGAGAGCCGCCTGAAGCGCAGCGGAGAGTCAACGGAAGCTCAGGCTCGACTCCTGGCAAGGCAGGCCCTGGGCCCAGAGCACGTGGCCGCCGCAGGGAAGTCACAGGAAAGCCCTCCGTCATCCCATCTGCACATTCACACGTCAGTAAGCCTTTCGGGAAGACAGTGCTTACAGCCGCACTACGGTCCTGACCACCCACATCTTCCCTGAACGATACTTCTACCCATGCCAGTAACTACTCAGATTCAGTGATCAAAGAGAAAGGGTCTAGTGGTGACGCGCTCCTGGGGCTGGGCAGCGGCGTGCTCGCTGCAGGAAAGCACGGGGCAGCTCTGCCCGCTGGTGGCTCTGCCTGCGGACCTGCCCGGAGCCCCCCCACAGCTCCTGGCCGATGCTGGCCCCAGGGGCCGTGAATGCGGCAGAAAGGCAATGGCCTCGCTGATGGTGCACATCCCAGACTAACTCGTTTCCCACACAGTTCGGGTGGGACTGGGTAGCTCCTGGTGGCGAAGGCCAAGCCGGCATCTCTCTAAAGCCCGGGCGTGTGGGGAGGAGAGAGAACCTAGAAAGATCGTGGTCCCGGGGGGCCACCCGGGAGGCCAGGCAGAGCTCCTGGCGGAGGGCCCTCTGCGCTGGCAGGAGGGGACAGCAGGAGCTGCGGGGGGCCTCGCGACAGCTGTGCGGGTTTGGGGCCTGTCCTTCCTTCACGGCCCACGCTCTCCTCGGGGCCCCTCAGGCAACAGAGCACTGCTCTCCTGTGGCCCGAGAGAGGCGGACAGTTAGAGCCGCGTCTCGGTCGCCCTCGCCAGCATCACGAGGGCAGGGCAGGGCTCTCTCTGGGTGGGTGTGAGCAGAGGAGCCCACGAGGCCGGCGTGGCTGGCGTCTGCACGGGTCTGGCACACGCCACGCCTGGGGCGTTCCCACAGAAACTGCCGTGCAGACAAAGGACACCAGAAGGCCATGAAGTGGTTCTAGAGTACCCGTCCCTCAGCGACCGGAAGGCCAGTCGTTCAGGAACGGCTGCCGGCCTGCAAGCATGGGTCCTGCCCTCGGAAGCCATGGATTCCCAAGCCCTGTAGTCCCCGGCCTGGGGCACGCAGAGGAAATGAAGACTGTCAGCCAAGCAGTTTCCGACCCCAGCCTTTATGCCCTCCGGATGGTCCTGTCACACACGATACCATAGGTGCACCTCAGCAGTGGCTGTGCCCCGAAGACCACCTGTGACGGTGGGCTTTGGACACAAGGGGTCAGTTCATTTGAACTGAGCAGACGACAGCCTTCTCCTCCTAAAGCAGAGCTTCCCGTGGGCAGCTCAGCTCCATCCGGGGGGACAGGGTGGGTGTTCGGGGTCAGCCTTGCACTCTCAGGACTGACAGTAACCACAGACTCACTGGACAAAGCGCTCTTCCCTTTTGTTCCCGCGTGGAGGGTGGCTGCAGGGAGAGGCCAGGGCAACCAGACAGGGCCCCCTTTCGGCATCCTCCTCCCAAGGGGACCCCGAACCAGAAGCCAAGCCTGGAGCCAGTGTGTTTGGCCACGTCTAGGAGGCCAACCGGATCATTTGCTTCTCGAAGTCATTCCCAGGCCACACCCCCCCCGACTTTCTTTGGACTTGGGTGACAGGTACTTTCGCGGAAAGGACCCCGGAGCCTGCGTGAACGCGGGGCCCAGGCCTGGCTGGAGGACCAGGGCAGTGCCAGGCCAGAAAGTCTCCCGGGAGGCCCTGGTGCCCTCGGCCGCGGGGCGGGCACAGTTCGGGGTCAGCGGTGGCGCCAGCCGCTCTGACCACGGAGCCGTTGCCATGGCGTTTTCGCAAACAGCATCCTGATTGTGTTTCCTTTTCTTCTTCTTCTTCTTCTTTTTAAAAAAGGCAGTTCTGAAGATTTACATCGTGATGGGGAAGTGAATAAATACCAGCACTTATGGTTCTTATAAATTTATGTTTCGACGACAGCATAGCACTCGAGAGGAATTTGACTGTTACGGTCGGTGAAACCTGGTAAGACAAACAAATGAATCAAGACCAAGCGGCTGCCCGAGACATCCGGCTCCACGGCCCGAGATTTCCATCCGCAGAGTCCTTGTTTCTGACAGTGAGAGGGGTTCACATCTCCAACCAGGGGCACATCCCACAGAACTGCTCAAGTGCCTGGGGCCCACCGAGTTCACCTCTGGTTTTGGAATGTTTGATCTGAACTCCTAGGGACCAGGGAGGTGGCTCTGGGGGCCCTCAGGCTGGCTCAGCAGCGAGGTGGAGAGCTCACGTCTGCGGGCCCAGGCACCATCTCTCTGGATGTTCACCAAAGAGGGGTGTCATAAGAATTGCAGTGGTTCTGCCACTGACTAGCCAAGTAGCCTTGTCTAAGCCTCTTGAATCTCTCTGGGCTGTTTCCCCAAGCAGCATCGCACAAGACCATCTGGAAGGGTGACATGGAGTCACAGAATGAAATAGGTTTGGCCCCTGATGCCTGTCAGTGGACAATGATTCTTTCTCCTCGGCTTAAGTTTTCATGAAAACACACTTTGGGGTTAGCAGTGGTCTGGCACTTAGCTCTTTAGTTTGAATGAGTTAAAACCCAGGCTTTTAGCCGGGCCGGTGTGGCTCAGTGGTTGAGCATCGACCCATGCACCAAGAGGTCACTAGTTCGATTCCCAGTCAGGGCACATGCCCAGGTTGTGGGCCCGATCCCCAATGGGGGGCATGCAGGAGGCGGCCAATCGATGCTCTCTCTCATCAATGTTTCTCTCTCTCTCCCTCTCCCTTCTGCTCTCTCTAAAATCAATACAGGAAAAAAAATGAAAACAAATAAAATAAAATAGAAGCCAGGCTTTCAGAAGGTGGGTTTTAGCCGGACCCTTCCCAGCTTCGGTGTCCACAGCAGGGACTGGACGCTGACCCGGCTGTCCCTTCTCCTCCGCGCCCACCTCACCGCCTGGGGTCCAGAGGGGGACTGGAAGTAAACATTACAGCATGAGGGGGAGAAGCCACAACTCGATACTAACCTTGTTAGATGTCTACTCAATTCATGAACTTCCATTTCAGTGCTTTTGAATTCATTCAGCTCCTTCCGAATGGCCGCCTGGAATGAAGAGAAGCCCGTGAGTACGCAGAGGAGGCCGATGGGTAGGAGTTCCCTTTTTATTTTTTTTTAATTTTTTTATTTTTTTATCCTCACCTGAGGACATTTTTCCATTTTTTACTCAGATAGAGCGGGAAAGAGAGAGAGGAAGAGAGAGAAACATCGATGTGAAAGGGACACATCGAGTGGCCGCCACCCACACGACCCAACCAGGGCCGGGGACAAACTGCAGCCAAGGTACATGCCCTTAGCGGGAACCGAACCCGGGTCTCTGTGGACCGCAGGCTGACGCTCTAACCGCTGAGCCAAACCGGCCAGGGCCCTTTTTATTTTATTTCTAACCATTCTTCATCCTTTGACCGAGTCATACAAAATGGGTTCATTCACGGGGAGAGAAAAACAATCACCTGAGACACTCTTGAGAACCTACTGAGACTCCCCGTACCCTGCAATCGAACCTGCACATGATTGTGTATGGAGACTGCCCCGCGCGGCGTCGCCGGTCCCCCAGAGCCGGTTCATCGGAGCCCAGGGTGTGTACACCTGCCCCACACCCCTGGCTCCTCCCAGCACACGTTGCAATGGCAGCCTCCCGCCTCCCTTAGGCAAACACTCCGAACACATCGCAGCAGAGCCTGCCTCACCACGGACACTTCCAGAAGGAGAGGGTGCCCCGCCTTGACTTAGTGCCTCTGCTCTTTCATGAGTCTTGACGCCGAGGGAATAGTTGTCCCCACTCTGGGTAGATGGGGTGTTCGGACTAACCTCAGCACGTTCTGAGATAAACCTGAACGACCTCACCCTTACAGCCCTGCGCACGGGGGCGGGCTGGGCAACCAGGTGCAAAGACAGGTGAGGCGGGCCTGGAACACAAGAGTGTCTGGGGCTGGAAACCCCACTTCTTCCTCAGGGGCTTGAATTCTAAACGTGCGCCCTTTCGCGGAGCTTTCTGAGGTCGACATCTGCTCCGACGGGACATCAAAGCACCGGGGGTTCGGGGCTGGAGTCTTTCGGGAGTGTCGCAGGGGCTCCCTTGGGGAGGGAGGGCGCACCTGAGTCTCCGTGTACTTTCCCGGACACCTGTGGTGCCCTTATCCTTGGAAAACAGGCAGACTGTGGCGCAAGTGGGACCAAGAGAGGACAAGGGCCAGGGCGCCCTTCTGTTGACATGTACAGACCCCGCTGCCTGCCCGCGGGCTGGCTCTGGGCCAGCTCCCAGGGTCGCGCACCCCGAGCTCCTGTGCAGGGAAGAGGGGTGCTATGTTCAGGAGGAGGGCAGTGTCCCACTCGGATGTGTGGGGCTGACCCATCTGAGGCCCTTTCCGGAGGTCTCTGGTCTGGCCACGTCAGTGTCCCCAAGTGCGGCGGCTTCCCTGCCGTCCCTGGTCCAGCCAGCGTCGGGCTGTAGCTGACCCTGCTGGGCCTGTAAAGGCACTGGCTCCGGGAAGCGGGGGCAAAACTCAGGAGACGGTCACATCATTTTGGACTGTTTTTTAAAAGGCCCTTAGCCCTCCAGTTCCTCATGGTGACTGGACTAGAATCACCAGCGATGACCAAGCAGAGTTCCATTTTAATACACGGTCTAACGCACAGATAAGAATGACACTTGCTTCCCTGCACTTTGTATACAATGAACTCAACGTCAGGTTGTTTCCACTGCTTTCCAGTCGGGGAGGGCTTGGTGCAGGGAGGGCGTTTGCTGTCTCCGTGATTTGTGTCGTCTTTGCCATTCGGTTACGAGAACCGCCAGCACAGTGGCCTCGTCTCCTTTTGGTTTTGCGAGTCCCCTGCTGCGTGCCGAGGACACAGGCCTCTGCCTGGAAGGTGTGATAAGCGTGGCACCTCCTGCCCTTGGACGGTCCTCTGCCTGCACAGGTGCGATTCCTCCTCCGGGCACTGCCGCCCACGCCGCCCTTCCTCCTTAAAGCCGCACAGTCCTTCCCGCTCCTCCAGAGCAGAGAGGAATCCACCAGTGACCTCTGCCGATTACCTGGAGCCTGGGGAGGGGCGCTGGCCACATGGGACTCGGCCTGCCCAGGGGGCCCTCAGTGCTCCTCACCGTGCCTGTGACCAGGGCTTTGCTGTTCGTGTCATTACAGCATCCCAGGCAGCAAGCGAGAAAGCCAGAATGTGGGGACCCGCACCCCTCTGCTCGCCTCTGCTTACTTTGTCGGCAGCGGTGAGGCGGGTCCAGGGCTTGTCGGCCCTGCGGTCGTAGTCCTGGGCGTCGGCCACCTCCACGTAGTCACTGAAGCGGATGAGGATCTTCCGTTCCCGAAGTTCTTCCACTGTGGGCCTCTGGCTGAGCTGCAGGAGGGAGAGGGGCACAGTCAAGCAGAGTTTGGATCACTTGCTGGTCCGTGAGTTTATAGCTGAGCAAAATGAGGGCCAGACAGGCAACCGAGGCATCACACAGCAAGGGAGGGACGGGGCCCGGTGGAGACCAGGCTCCCGACTCCTGCACCAGGGACTTTTCTAGGACTCAGAGCGGAAGGGGGAGAGAGAGAGAAAGAGAGAAGACAGAGGGTTTTACTGCTCCGTGAGCTACCTCAGGCCTGTGGGCAGTCAGACTGTCCTAGTGACACTCAAAGTGCCTCTTCTTACAGGCAGCTTGTGCTGTGGGTGTCCAGTGAGGATTTCCCCACGTCGGTCCCCCTTCTCCCACCAGGTGACAGGATCTTGCACAAAGATTTTGTCTTATTTGGATTTATGAGTCCATGTGTGTGTCAAATTCAGTGCTGAGCAATGGGTGTGCAAGTCATTTTACATGTGTGTGCTTCCTGTGACTGTGCGAAATCTGGGTATGCGGGTCAGAAATCTGGGTATGCGGGTCAGAAGAGACCCTGCTCCTCAGAAGGTCAAAGGAAAGGTCAGCCCACGGAGGTAGAGCTCAGCCTGGGGACCGGCCTTTTGGACGGGTGTGCGGTGAGGGACTGAACCTCGTAGGAAGGGACTCATATTCATTCCGCCATCGCCCGACGTCACCCACTAGCACCCTCCTTTGCCCTTTAACGACACAAGGCTGACGTTTCTGCTCTCTCTTCCCGTCACCAGGCTTATTTCTTCTGGAGCAACGAGCCGCCCTCTCCTCAGGATGCTGTCGCTTCACGTTTAACCGACAATATTTAACAGCAATTTTCCCTCCAAGCCCTGGATTGTACTTAATTATTCTATGAAGAGCAGATGCAGTCAGATAGAATCTTACCACAAAGGCCTGCACAACAGACACACACGGAGGGATCCAACCACCCTGGCTGCTCGCTCTAGACCAGGCAGCTGCCCTGTGCCTTCGCTGGGCCAGGGCAGCGGGCAGTGCCCTCCAGGCCAGTGCTGGGAAGATCCGGGGGTCGGAGGCCTCTGGGCCACATGTAGCCCCCCTCCAGCGGTTCTGGTGTGTCCTGGGCAGCCTGGTTCTCCTAGGACAGGGCATTTTGGCATCAGTGCTGGCCTGTCACAGGAAACCACAGGTCTCCCGGGCTCTTTGGGGTCCAGCCTGACTCTAAAATGTGTGTGGGGAGCTTTTGTACTATTGTTAAAATATAAAAAATAAAATATAAAGAAGGATTCCTACTCAAACTCCTCAGTTCCTGTTGCTTGGGACCAGCAAGGTTTGCCCCAGGGTGCTGGACCAAAGGAAATATTTTCGAAGTGTGCCATGACTCAAGAAAGGCTGCTAAGCATGGAATGTGTAGTTTATATCTCTGGAAATCACGACCTGGACTTTACTAACAGCCTGTCGATGGCAGAGTCTGGAGTGAACAGAAAACTATGTGTTGGCTCTGAAGGTCAGGGACCGGTTTCCATGCCTGAATTCTATGGGAACCTCAGACACGAGCTCTCCAAGTCATAAGGCACTCTGCTCAGGAGCCTGGGCAGGGCTGAGGTGGGACTTGTGCTGGGAGAGCCTCCGTGGTGTGTGGACGGACTCAACAGTGCCACCAGGCCTCCACGTGAGCGTGGGCTTGTGCCCCTTCCACGTGGGCTCAGGACACGTCCCTTTGGTGTGTGGCTGGTTGTAGCCACGGGGGCACGTGAACCCAACGGTCCTTCTTCAGATGCTGAGCAAGTGATCTTTGGGGCCTGAGCTGGTTTTCTGGGGATGGTGGACAGGAGAAGAGGTAGGAGCAGGGGTGGTATCAATCTATAGCAGCAATAATATCTCTGCAACCAAATAAATACTCAACCACAGGGAACGGCTGGTCTGTGCCATCAGCATCAGCTACCGTGCTATTTCCTCACTAGAACATGCAGCTAAATAGAACTGCACCGGGAGACCCAGGGCGGAGGGTAAACAACGGAAAAGCAGCCGCCGCCACTGGCGTCGGGTCCCAGTGAGGTCCAGGCCCCAGAGAGAACTGCCCGGGGCCAGGAGGTGTGGGTTCCCTGCCGACTGGCAGGCTCACACCTCTCGTGACAAACAGAGATGTGAAAGCGTCTTGTGGTCTCTCCCTCAAAACCAGTTCCTTCCCTCAAGTTCATTATTTCAAATGCCCCAGGCCAGTCCCCAGGGAGGGAATGCTGAAATGACAAGGCAGTGTTCCCGGGAGGAAGGACAAGAAACCAGAGGAGGAGGGGCCTTTATCTTGTCCTGGAGTCCTGCAAAAATGATGGCTGTCGGAGGCACCTGTCCCTGTGTGACTCGCCCTGGGGGGATGGGTGTGGGATGGAACCGTTTCCCCTGCCAAAATATGCAATTAGTCAAGTTTTTCTCTAAAACTATATACTCTTTTTATTTATTTATTAAAAAAAAAGTCTTTATTGATTTTTTTAGAGAGAGAGGAAGGGAGAGAGAGAAACATTGATTGGCTGCCTCCTGCACGCCCCCTGCTGGGGATCGAGCCTGAAACCCAGGCATGTGCCCTGACTGGGAATCGAACCAGGACCTCTCAGTCCACAGGACGCCACTCAATCCACTGAGCCACACTGGCTGGGCTATATACTCTTTTTAAAGAGATAAGAGTTAGATGGATGTTTAAGTATTTTTCTATTACTACTTTCTAGAAATCCTAAAGTTTAGGAGAATTTTTTGGGATCCAGCAATCAACTCCAAGGAACTTCATGAAAACTGGATTTAAACTTTTTTTCTGAATGTCTAGACCTTTCTGTATCAGAAATGAATCTCTTTTTGATACCATAGTCACTTCAAGGTCACACTTGGAAGAAGCTAATGCACTCCCCATCCTCCTCACTGCTCAATTTCAGGACAAGGGGTACCCTGCATCCGAAGACTGGGTGGGCTCAAGGATGTAAAGAATCAGACCTTGCCTGGGGTGAGGGCCCCTGGATGAAATGAGCCCACTTAGCTCTTGTTCTAGTTCCCACCAGGGGGCGCCGGCCTGTCCTGGCCTATCAGGCACTGTGTGTCCTACTGTTTTTCACTGGGATGGCATTTGGCTTGTCACCAGAAGTCTGGGATGCTCTAAGGGAGAGGAGAGTGTTGAGATGCACAAGTCATCACTTTCATAATTGGTATGATATTTTAGGATCTCTGAACTTCCTTTGCATAATATTTCTGGGGAGAAAAATCCATTAATAAACCTTTGAAAAATTAATTTTAATGGGACTCTTAACTGTCCCTGAGATCTGGGACTCTTTCTCTCAAGATGGTCACTATAGGAGGCTGATTGAGACCACTCTTAGACAGAATACACTGTTATATCTTGTGTCATCAATTAATTAAACTTGTCAACATCACCCAAGAATAGCCTCAATAAGAGTTTATTATCAAAGAGGCACTCATGTAGAATTGGATCCATTTGAGTCTATACTGCATTGCCAAGCCATCTATGTTTGGGGTTAAAAATATATACAAATTCTAGCTTTATGGCTTTTTTTTTGGTACGTGCCCCTAGTGGGAATTGAACCCAGGACTCTCTGGTCCGCAGGCTGACACTCCAACCGCTGAGCCAAACCAGCCAGAGCTAGCTTTATGGCTTTTAACTTAAGTGCTTTTCAAACATCTTCAAAAATGTATCAGTACTTCAGGCTTTTTCCTAATTCAGTACTCCAAATTGGATTTATCGTAATGAAGTTAAATAGTTCTTAGTTAATAGGTAAGGAATAGTATCAGGGGAGGCAAAGAAAATTCATATGTTCCCAAAGTCATCACAAATAACTATGTTGTATTTGAACTACTGATTTTGACAGTGAGTTTCCAATTGCTTGATGGGGTAACAGTACCTTGTTAAAAATAAAATATTCACAGTAACTGAAAATAGAACGCACTTGCCATCAAGTTGCTTGGGGGCAGGTGAGTGTCATGGAATCAAGCAACATAGAACGTCAGGAGACAAAAGGGCAAAAGGTCATGCAGCTGAGTCAACCATGGTCCCCTGGAGAGGTCCTGGGTGGCTGTTTACTCTGATAGCGGAGATATGGAAGCGCTCATGTGCCACCCAGTGGGCCAGGCAGCTGCCCGGCCACTGGGCCAGCAGCGGGCACAGGAGCGGAAGGCGGCCCACCCTCTCCCGTCCCAGCTCTCGGGAGAGAACGTTCTCACCTTTCGAGTTAGCCTCCTCTTGATCTCTCTCTTCTCCTCTTGTTCCTCTTGTTCATTCCGAGCTGCAAGAAATAGTTAAGATGCTTTTGACTTTGTAGCCAGGGCACACGGGAGCGCCTCACCGTGTGGAGAGGGGAGGAGAGAGCTTCCGTTGCCTACCCCGGCCACACTTCTGCCTGCGGGGACACTTTCCAAACTGCCTGCATTGTTTCAAACTGGCGGTGAGCAAGTTGACCTTCTGACTGCGTTTTCTCTCTGTTGCTGGGGTTTTGAGTCTCCTGGCAGAAATGCTGGATGAGAAGAGAGGCTTATAGGGCAAGGAGGGGCTCCTAAGAGTGGGGTGCTGTCAGCAGTGCATGGGTGTCTGGGGAGAGGGGAGGCTCCTCAGATTCAGGCCTCATTCAGCTCTGCCCCCAGCCTCACAATGACTGCAGGGGCTCAGTGTGATGCGCCCTCGCTGCGCTGTGGGAGCGGAACCCGAGACCGGCCTGTGGGGGTGCCGAGGCCAGCCTGGCTGCACAAACAGGAATTTCAAAACGCTCACCTTTCACAAGCCCTGATTCCACTAATTCTTTGAATCTTCCAAGAAGTCCTCTGAGCACGCGTGAGGCCAGAGCGTGGGGTACAATTGCCTGCATTGGGACTTCTAAGGAGTGTCTCAGAGGAACAGATGCCAGAGCCTACAGCTGTCAGCTGAACATGCGGGTGACTGGCTCGTCAGAGGTTTACAGAGCCGCAAGTAAGAGGGTCCGGGAAGGGCGCAGAGCCTGGGAGGGCAGAGGACGTGGGCGTGTTTCTCCAAGGGGCTAGCTGAATGACCTTGGGTGCGTCAGTTTCCTCCTGGGCGGCGGAATGGAAGCATGGTGGTAAGTATGATATTGTCTACAGTCATGAGTCCCAGGAGGTAGGTCTCTGGTCCTCACCCGCTGGGTTCAGAAAGGCATCAGTGACAGGGGCTGCTTCAAGCAGATTTTGGCACAGGGCATACACCGAATGCCTCGGACTCTCGTTCTCTCATTTTGAAATCAACTAGTGTTAAATTATGTTTCAATAACTAAATGAATGTGTTCTATCAGTGCACACTTGCAGTTCAGTTGTCTCGGTATAAGACAGATCTTTAATAAAAGAGGGAGACCCCAACCCACCTCATCAGCCCTGACAGCAGTGACCACAGCCACAGCCGACTCCCCCCCAAGGGGCAGCTCTGCCCACTGGAAGGGAGGACGGCCATTCAGAGCAGAACTCGGACCCTTGAGCCACAGCCCCAGGCGCATGGTTTGGCTGCCTGTGGGGATCAGGACCCTGTATGAAGGCAGCACCAGAAACGCCCAAGGCCTGCCATGGCCCGGGGTTCCCAGAGGTCCCCACTGTAGCCTGCCCACAGTGCCCCTAGCCACCTCTCAGAGTTCCTTTAAAAATGCAAGTTTCTTTCGGATAAAAACCCATGAAACTAGTCAGCCATTAATGTCTTAGTATGAATTAATCTATCAGAGGCAAGTAAGCTGGGAGGCCGACAGCAGGACCCAGAAGAAGCTGAGAGCCCAGACAGCTGCATTTGCAGGAGTGCGAGGGAAGACCCCGTCTGGGTGGGGCAGGTCGCTGTGCTTGGTTCCACTGTACAGACTCGAAGTATTAGGGCCACGGGGGGCCTGAGGGACCACCTAGACCCCCACTCCCAGTTCGTAAATGAGGATGGGAAGGCCCAGGGCAGTCCTGTGGCTGCCCCCAGGATAGATACAGGGCCCATCAGTCAGACAAACAGCCCAGCTTCTTTTTCTCACTGGAACACACTGCCTCTCCTCCTGTCATGTTTTGCCTGGGGCCGGCCCTCCTCACTGCTGGTTACTGGCCTCAGACTCTAGGCAGAGCTTCCTCACCCTACAGGCCCCTTTCCCTGTGCTGAGTGGCATTCTGAGACAGAGCACGGAGCTGTCATCTCCTGTGTGCATCTCTTAGGTTCCTCTGGGGGGCGGGGGCAAGACCACCTATGGGATCTGTACCTTCAGTTCAAACCCAGACTAATGTTTTCTTAGGCCAGTGGTACCAAGGCAACCCCACTGGGCAACTGGGGAGAGAGGCCAGGGTAGGCCCATGATGTCATCGCACCTGCAGCCACCATCAGAGTGTGCTCATTGTGTGGTCAGGTGGGCACGGAGCCTCCCGGCTGAACAGAGCTGGCCCTGTCCACAGGGCGGGCAGGGCGGGCAGGGCGGGGCTGGGAGCCAGGCCTCTGAGACATGGTGCCTCAGAGGACGCGGCTCAGGAGGTACGAACACGGGCGCTTTCTCATGCTACTAAAAATTTTCTTGTTTCACAATCAGATTGGAGGAAAAAAAAAAAAGGAAAAAAAATTTATTTAGGAAAAAAAACATTCCAGAATGCAGTGGAAAAATAAGAACCAACAGGAAAAATGAGTTTCTTCCCAAAAAGTTTTGGGGCTGTGGAATGACCAAGCCAGTCTTTAACTCGCAGCTACCTGAACAGGACAAGGAGGCGGCGGAACTAGAAGGAAACGTGGGAACAGTCTTTTAAGCGGCTTTGGTCTCCTGACCCCCCCCCCCCCCCCTCGACGTGAGTAACTGTCCCTAAGAAGCGAGTATTTTCTGGATGCAATGAGGACCCAATGCGGGGGCCAGCCTGTGATCTCCGGGGTCGGTAAGTGGGGCACGAGCCAGTGCCTTCAAGCCAGAGGGGGGCTGGGCTCTGGCACCTCCTTCCAAAACCCTTGCCTTTGCTGAGAGAACTGTTTCTGAAACCTGATGTTTTTAGCTTCTTTGAGTGGAGGGTCAGGTCGGAGGCCCATGTAGGGGCTCCTTCAGAAGACGACGGATCCGCGCCGGGCCCACGCGCCGGGTGAAGAGGCAGAGGCAGAAGGATGCACGTGTACCTGACTTCTGATTTCAAGAACAAAGGGACACTTTTCTGTTTTTCTTTCCCTCTAACAATGGAGAGTTCATGCATCAGGTGTCAGGTTGGGGCAGAAAGGGAGACGTCCCACAGGCCAAGTGCTTCCCTGACCACGGAAGGACACCCTCTGAAAAGATTCTCTGTTCCACAGCCTACGATGCTTACAAACTTCAGTGCGTGCCCCTTGGTTAAAAAAGGCAGACATACATTCCTAGACACCTAGGAGGCATGTGAGGTTTGATCAAGACCGAGGAGAGCCAGTCCTAAGGACAGCACCGAGAGGTGGGGACACGGTGTGGGAAGCCCACATCGCGCAGGTGGGTGCACCGGAGGGCTGCCCCCCCTCGCCCCCCCTCCACAGCCTCCCCAGGGAACGTCAACAGCTCGTTCTCAGCAAACGATTTCACACTGACCGGGTCACGCGACCACAACGAGGAAGGGGAGCAAAGTAAAATAACCAAGGACTTTTGAGTTTGGCACATGTGGAAATACCCACCCCCACACACTGAAGCTCCGCGTGACCGGAGCCTGCGTGTGTGGGCGCGTGCACACATGCGGGGCCTTGCCTTGGGTGCCTCTGCACCGCGCCTCGTTCCCGGCCCGAGAGAAACTAGAAGGGGTGTGCGTGCGGGAAGACGGGGCAGTGGAGTGAGCTAAACACTTATCTGCTGACCCTCTTGAGCAAAGTTTGGGGAGAGCGGTAATAACTGAGCAGAGGTTTTAATTTTTAATTATGCAGTATCTCCCCCTAAATGGAGGCTCACTGGTGTCCGTGCGATGTGTGGTTTCTTAGTATTATATATATATTTTTTAAGCACCAACTGGATTCTCTGCACATGGTCCGATATCTCTGTGTCCTAAACCAAACAAGGGGCTGGCGAGTGGCCTTGGTACCACAGCCACAGTGAGGTTTTCTCCAACGAGAACCTAAAGCAGGCACAGCAGCCAGCTGGGGAGGGGGTCCTGAGAGATGGACACACAGCATTTTCCTTGGCAATGCTCTCCCAGGCTTTACATTTGATGTTGGGAGGGCGGGGGGATTTGACCAAAGCAGCCAGCTGCACTGGAGAGTCATGTTCTCTAGTCCCAGGTGTCAAATAGCCATTTGCCTTATTTTTGCCTTCCGTGGAGTATTTGCAGCTCTGAAGCCAATTTTGGTTTAAAGGTGACGCCAGCGCTCCTCAAAATCATTTAGTAACAAGAGCCCTCGCAATGCATTTTCAGCTTTTCTCTGACTTACAGCTCACCACAGGGACGGTGGCTGGCGTCTGGGAGCTTCCAGTGAGCCACGTGGATTAAATCTGCGCTCGGTGGGGAGCTGGCCTCGGCTGTTCTGACACACAGGGCTGAAGCCTCAGCCATCAGACACCTTCTCAAGAATTTCCTTAAATCGTAACTACAGCCACCACAGAAACATCAGGAGCTGCCACAGGCTCAGTCACTTACGTTTCAAAATGTTCCTCTGCTCCAACTCCTCTGCAGTCGGCCTCTGGCTCAGTCGCCTGCGGAAAAAATCCAGGAAAAGTTTTTGGACCATATCATAGCCTCCTTGGGTCATTAATCTCTCTAGCCCTCGTAGGTGCATGAAACCGAGCGGGTGGCTGGAGTTCTTGTTCCATCCTGGGCTCCGAAAGACTGACTCTCACGACCGACGCCTCCTCAGTTCCTCAATTTCAACCCCAGGAAAGGCACCCCACGTCACGGCACCAGGCCGACCCTCCCCCTTCCTCCCTGCAGGCCCCTCCCCAGCCCCGCTCCTCCAGGGCCTCCAGGCAAGAAACTTCTCTCCACAGAAGTCCCTTTCTTCCCCTGTGGCCTCCTAACTTCGGGACCTTGGCCTCTGCCTTTCTCCCCCAGCCCCGAGGCCAGAGCTCACTTCCTGCCATGTTGCTGCAGACCTGGTTGGACTACAAAGAGGCCCATGGCCCCAGGGAGACGCAAGAAGCTTGTCTGTCTGCAGGGAACAATAGCTGCTCTTCTTCTTGTCCCCACCCACCACCATCCAGCCTTATTAGACGGGGAATAACACATGAACAGGAACAGAAGTGACACTCCTGTTGCTGGGCACATCAGTTCACCAGAACAAGTGAGCCACAGCAAGGCCTGAACCTGCTATGATGCAACAGCAGAGGGGTGGGGACCGACCACGGGCAGGAGCCACGCAGTGACAGAAGGAATTGCACCAAAGGGGAGAACTCCATGCTGGTACCCCGGGAAGTTCCAGGAACAGTCAGCACAAACACGGTGGGCCTCAGCATTCACAGAGGTGTCCGCATTTTTGGAGCTCTCGGAAATTATTTAACAAGCCTGCAGTTAGCCAGCGTTCTGCGTCACCCTTTGGGAGGAGGTGTGTCGGATAACTGGAAGGAGCTGGAGGCTTCTCAGAGACCTCCCCTGGGACCTGTGGGGTAGCAAGGAGCGTTCCCCTCGCGGTAGAAGTTCCAGTCCAGCGGTTCTCAACCTGTGGGTCGCAACCACTTAGGGGGTCGGACGACCCTTTCACAGGGGTCGCCTAAGACATAACAGTAGCAAAATTACAGTTATGAAGTACAACAAAAATAATTTTATGGTCGCCACAACATGGGGAACTGTCTTAAATGGCTGCGGCACTAGGAAGGTTGAGAACTGCTGTTCTGGTCTCTCCCCAAGTACTGGCAACGAGTATCTGTAGGGTAAGATCTTTACATCATGGAATCTGAATAAAAGTGTAAATAGTTTAAGTCCAACGCTATTGTCACTTGTAGTTTTCTTGTAGTCACTTGGAAATTCACAGTATTGGAGGATCTAAATTTGGACTCCGCCGTCTAGAAGTCCTCTCCGAGGAAGCATCCTCGTACTGCAGGAGGGAAGTGATCACACAGCTGAGCAAACTGTCAGAGGCCTGGACGCAGCCACGAACCCGCTGAGAACGAGCTTCCTGGAGGCTCGGCCGCACCTCTCGGTTCATTTTCCCCAAGAACGCTGGCTTCTTGGGTAGGGACGCACAGCTACTTGATGGGACCATTTGGTAAAACCCAGGTGTTGAATGAAGCTAGGGTTCTGGGGACAATGTTTTGGACAGACCCCAGAGTCAAGGTGGAGCTTGCACCTTGGAAGTCGGGCCACTGGTTTGGAGTCTTCGGCAGAACTTGCCCCCGGCTCGTGCTGAGCAGCCCAGCCGTTGGTTGCCTGGTTCGGCCTGGCTTTTTGTTTTTCTTCTGGGTTATGTTTGCAGGGGACAAGACAAGGAGGGACTCAACTACAACCAGAGAGAATGCTGTTATTAACCAGGCTTTAGTCCAACACGCATGATTTGTAATGAGGACCTTTATGTTTCGTTTCTCTTGAAGGGGTCTGAGGACCTCGAGGCTAATGATAGCTCTAAATTGTAGCTAAGCCCTCCCAAAGGGCATGTGCTATACTTAGCTTTGACTCTGAAAATGAGATTTGGTAGGAAAAGGATACTGTAGCACTGTAAGGACAAAGTACTAAACAGCACAGGGGTCATGGGTCTGGGTTCTAGTTCTGACTCTGCTCTGAGCCGCTTTTCCTTGGACAAAGTACTGGACCCTGCTGGGCCTATGCTCTTTTTTTCTGCAAATAATAAACAGTAATAAATGAATGCTGATTTAATGCCTGAAGTGTGCCAGCATGGCTCTAAGAACTGTATGTGTGCTAGTTCACTTAGTCTCCATAGCAGCTCTCTGAAGTAGGATGTACTATCATTTCCACTCTATAAATGGGGAAACTGAGGCACAGAAAGACAGTTGCATGCCTTGCCTCAGGTCACGTGGCGAGCACATGTCTTAAATCCAGGCATTCTGTCTCTGTAGTCTGAATACTCTTAACTAGTTTATTAGCTTCTTATTACTGCTGTAACAAATGAGCACAGATTTATTATCTTATGGTTCTGGCAGTCAGAAATCCAAAATGCATTTCACTGGGCTAAAATCAAGAGTGAACAGCCCTGGCCGGTTTGGCTCAGCGGTTAGAGCATTGGCCTGTGGTCCAGAGAGACCCGGGTTCGGTTCCGCTAAGGGCATGTACCTCGGTTGCAGTTTGTCCCTGGCCCTGGTTGGTCGTGCGGGTGGCAGCCACTCGATGTGTCCCTTCACGTCGATGTTTCTCTCTCTCTCTCCCTTCCTCTCTCTCCCTCCCACTCTATCTGTACAAAAAATGGAAAAAAAATATATATATATATCCTCGGGTGAGGATAAAAAAAAAAAGCCCTGGCCGGTTTGGCTCAGCGGTTAGAGCGTCGGCCTGCGGTACAGAGAGACCTGGGTTCAGTTCCCGCTAAGGGCATGTACCTCGGTTGCAGTTTGTCCCCGGCCCTGGGTGGTCGTGCGGGTGGCAACCACTTGATGTGTCCCTTCACGTCGATATTTCTCTCTCTCTCTTCCTCTCTCTCCCTCCCGCTCTGTCTGAACAAAAAATGCAAAAATGTCCTCGGGTGAGGATAAAAAAAAAAAAAAAAGAAGAAGAAGAGTGAACAGAAGTGTGGTCTTCTGGGAGAAGTGGAGAGTCTGTGCCCTTTCCAAACCAGTGCACCCTCAGCCTGTCTCTGACTTTGACCCTCCTGCCGACTCTTAGGAAGATCCTTGTGCGGACACTGGGCCCACCCAGGTTATACAGAATCATCTCATCTCAAGACCGGTGACTTAATCACAGCTGAAAAGTCCCTTTCGCCATCAAAGGCTACATGTTCATAGGTTTGGGGGTTACGACATGGACATTTTTAGCGGTCCAATATTCTGTCTACCACAACCATAATACCTTACTAGTCAGAAGCTGCAAACGGATGTCTTCTGGCTGGATTTGACTCTACAGATTCTCCTCCGCATGCTCAGACGTTAGAATTTCCCACCCGAATGCCTTTTGCTAGGGTGTGCGCTCCCCGCGGCAAGGGCCCCATCGTGCAGACAACACCTGTGAGTGCAGTGATATCTGTCCTGATTTCTTCCGTCCCAGTCACTCCTGGCCCCTGGCGGCGTCTGAGTTTGAGAGCCCTGGATGAGATCACCAAGCTATAACTTCTGGTTTCCTTCTTTCATCCACAAGCTACCCAACACCCACTAAGAGCTCCACCGAGGAGCACCGATGCTCACAGCTTAGAGGTGCACAGTGGTGATTAACATTAGTATGTGAAATTGGATCAACAATTTTCAGGAGCTGGACTGTAATAAAATGTCCTCAAAATGATAAGTTGGAGAGGATTTAGACTGTTACGGCAGTGTAGCAGGCACTACAGATTCTTGCAGCGCCTCAGCTCGGCCCTCTGCAGGGTCGACCAGCTGAGTCCACACCACGAAGTAGAGCTGGGTGCATAGCAAAGCCGCAGGGAGAGAACGTGGGAGTCCTGTCTCCACTCCGCCTCCTGGACTCTTCCCGTGTCCTCTGCTCTCATTCCTGTCCAGACCTGTTCCTAAAAGCAAATGCTACATACTCGGCCATATTCAAATGCAAATTCATTCTTTCATTTCACAAATTATTTGAGTGCCAGCTCCAGGCCAGGTCTGTGTTAGGCACAGGGGCACAGTGATGAACAAAACCACATCAAGGTCCTGCCTCCTGGAGCCTAAAGCCTGGAAGGGGCTGGGGGACAGGTATTCACCACAGTCGCAGAACCAGCTATGAGATGTGACTGTAGGAATGGCTTCCGTGGTAAGTCGCCTGGGGCAGTGATACTGGGATCTGACCAAATTAAGTCGTCAGAAAAAGCTTCCCAGAGGAAATGACGCCAGATCTGAGGGCTGGAGGGTGCCGGGCTGCTGGAGGGGAGAGGGCCAGGGGAAGAAGGATGGTGGGGACGAGGCAGGGGCCAGCTGCGTGGCCCATGTGGCCTGTGTCTGGGATTCCGATGTTTTTCCGAGGAGCGATGGGAAGCCACCAAAGAGCTGCAGTTTTAGGATGGGTGAGGGGAGAAGTGCGTGGACATTTCAGGTGTGAGACCACACTGAGCGTTGTGTGGAGAACGGACTGGGGGAGGCGAGAGGCGGTTTGCGTAGAGGCCTCAGAAGGCTAGACCTGGCAGAGGCTGGCGGGCAGGGGGCTCGGCTGTGGCGGTGGGCAGGCAAGTTCTTAGGAAGCCAAGCTGACAGCCTATGAAGACAGAGCATATGGACAGAGAGGGAAGGAGGAGGTACACAGGGCATCTGGTAGGTCTCCTAACTTACACAGCAGGACAACAGTAGTGCCATTCATTGAGATGGGGAACACTGGGAGGGAGCAGAGCACTTCTGGGGAGAACAGAGGAAGGATAGAAAAAAACTATGAGTTTGAGCCATTGAATCAGAAAACTTTTGTGATATCAAACTGGAGGTGTCAAGTAGGCAGCTGGATCTATTGAGCTCAGTGGACAGAAGTCTGGACAGAAACAATTTTAAAGGTTTTCTTTATAATTTTTAAATGACTTTTATAATATGTTTTCATTGATTGTAGAGAGAGAAAGGAAGAGGGAGAGAGGAACATTGATGTGGGAGAGAAACACCAATCGGCTGCCTCCTGCATGCCCCCTGCTGGG